GGCTCTCTACTTCCTGTGGGGCTCTTAAATCCTCCCCCAGTATGGTTTGGATCTTATCCATTGAGATTGTACTTCTATCATGGCTAGCACTGCTTTCTCTTTTTCATCCTTATTCTCCTCTATATACTGAGTTGACAAACTAAGAACTCTTTCCAAAGGCAATTTAGGGATTTGGTTTTGAATAGATTAAGCCATCACTGTATCTAACACTTCAACTATATTACTTGTCCCTACATCATCTTTGTACTTTATAGCATTCATAACATCAATTTTCAGCTCTTCATTATAAACCTTGAGGGTCATGGTTCCCTCCTTAATGTCTATCATGCATCTCCCTGTTCTAGGAAAGGTCTCCCAAAAATCATAGGGATCTTTTCATCTTCAGGCATCTCAAGAATAACAAAGTCAACGGGAAACACAAATTTGTCTATCTTTATCAGAACATCTTCCATTATACCATAAGGTCTTTTTATCGAGTGATTAGTAAACTGGAGTGTCATCCTGGTATCCTGAACTGTAACTATTCCTAACTTCCTGTAGATGGATAAAGGCATAAGACTCACACTAGATCCCAAATCAGTAAGTTCCTTCTTTAATGTTTTATCCCCAATTGTGCATGGAATGGTGACAAAACCCCTATCTTTCTTTTTACCAGAATCTTTATACCCTGCAAAATAGCACTGCAAGTTTCAGTCAAAAGTATATGCTCAGTGTCAATGGTGCGTTTCTTGTCGATAATATCTTTCATGAAGTTGGCATATATTGGCATCTGCTTAAGTGCCTCAGAGAATGGAATATTGATTTCAAGCTTCTTAAACATCTCTAAGAACTTCTCAAAAAATTTCTCATGCTGACCCTTGTTCTTGTTTCTTAAAGGATATGGGAGTTTGATGGTTGGTTTTGGCTCTGTTGGTTTTTCCTTCTCAACGACTTTTTATACAACTTATTCTTCAGTAATTTTTTGGTTATCCATTATTTCTAGATCCACTTCTAGAAAATGGTATTCTTTCACTGCTTTGTCTTCAGTAAACTCAATTGAATTACCACTTTTTGTCATCAATGCACTCGCATTATTATGCTCTCTTGCACTGTCATTGTTGCACTGGGAAGAGAACCATGTGCTTGAGAACCTACTATTTGTTGTGTTATATGATCTATATGAACTTAAATTTTTTTAATAGAAGTAGTAGTATTCTTTTGATTGTTTCTTCTCTTTTCTTGTAATTGGGAGTTTTGAGCGGCCATCTTTGCAATGGATAGTTCCCAATCTGCCTTCTTAGAAGCGTGTTGCTGATATTGGTGTTGGAACTAATTTTGGTAGTTTTCCTTAGGTTGATACTATTGTTAATTCTGATACTGAATAGGACCCTATTTTTGAACATTCCCTTGTTGATCTTCTCAAGAGAAGTTTGGATGATCCTTCCATCCCAGATTATAAGTATTAGAATATGGTTTGTTATGTTTCAGAAAGTTCACTTCTTTGATTTGTTACGCAGTTGCAACACAATGCATGACAAAATGAGCCCCCCACATATTTAGCAACTGACATCTCGAACCTGTTGAACTTGAGCTACCAATTGAGTACCTATATTCATTTCCTTGAGTATTCTTTCAACTTTTGAAGCAACTTGGTATTCCATTTTTACACTCTGAGCACCAAGTTTCAAATCAATTACTCCATCTAGTTTGCTTACACTCCTATCTTACAACTCTAATTGTTCATTTGCAGCAATGACTTCTATTACCTTCTTGCTACCAATGGTTGTTGTAAAGTTAGATGAGCCACCAACAGCTGTATCAATCAGTTGTTTAGTTTTCAACCTGAGGCCATTAACAAACATTTGCAACTATTCATTCTGATCTAAGTTGTGAGTAGGACAAGAAGCCTATAACCTCTTGAATCTCTTGTATGCATCACTTAGTGATTCACCCTCCTTCTTCTTAATATTGATGATATCATATATTTTCCTAATATAAACAGAAGTGGTAAAATACGCATTAAGAAAATTTGTTTCCGTCTGTTCCTAAGTGGTGATACTTCTGGAAGGTAATGAATAAAACCATTCTTTAGCATCTTCGACTAGAGTGAATGAAAACATTCTTAACTTTTTGGCTTCTTCAGTGTGCCTATCTATCTTCAAAGTTGTGCTCATATTAAGAAACCTTTGCAAATGTTTATTTGCATCTTCATTCATTTTTCCTATAAAAGGTCTCTTTTCAAGTTGACGAATTGTGTAGCCAAAAAGGTTCCTATTAAGAAACCTTTGCAGATTTTTAAGCCGAGTTGTGTAGCCAGACGAGGTTAAGCATGAACTAGACTATGATAGCAAGAAAGGTCTAGCAATGCAGAGAGCTAGGAAAGTATCTGCTATAACTCGGACTGGTCACGTAACTCAACTCCCATCAGCCGAGCTTCTAAGAAGTCGAGTACCTATCGCACCAACCCGATACTTACTTCAGACATGATGCAACCGGTATACCAATAGTTGTAACGGTGGCGACAAATCAATATGGGCGTTACCATAGCTTCAAAGTTTACATTCATGAAGGGGAGTTACAACAATGATGGCCATGTAACGTCAGAAGGTCAAGAGACTCCTCTTAATGGCATATCTTCAAGGAAGACTATAAAAGGGGCTCCCACATGAGGGTTAAGCAAGACACAATCATCTTGAGACAATATACAACACAAGTATAGCTCTCAAATCCTCAAATATCCCTTACGATATAAACATCACAGTTCTTCTTGTCCAGAATAAAGGGAATTAGCACTTTTGGTGTATCTAACCATTTTTGGCTAGAACAAATACCATTTTTCTTCCCTTATCTTTGACTTGGGATCCAGTTTGGTCATTTAAATTTTAAAAAATACTATTTTGATCCCTCAACTTTTTAAAACATCTCATGTTAGTTATTTTCATCCAAACGTTTGTAATGATTTCAAATTTTGTTGATGTGGCAAATGATGTGCAACTTTAACCTTTTTTGACCGATTTAATGATGGTAAAATCGATAACTAAAAGAGATTTTTTGAATTTTCAATATCTTCACCATCTTCTTCGTAAATCCTAGAACACTAAATATACAAATGGGAACTTGAATCTGGACTCAGGAAAGTGTAAGATAAAATCACACATTCTACTCTCTCTCTCTCTCTCTCTCTCTCTCTCTCTCTCTCACTCACACACACACACACACACACACACACACACACACACACACACACACACACACACACACACACACACACACACACACACACACACACACATCTAATAACTACAGTTTTCTTACTCAAACATACATTGATGGTTTGTGGTGTATAATGCCCTCTAATATGTAGTAAGAGAAAGGTGAACCATGGAATATTAGAAAACATTTTGGCATACAATGATGCTCAGATTTAATGACAACATTAATAACTGCAGGTATAGACACTAAATACCTACAGATATTTTATTTCCTACCTAGATATAGATAGTTTATAAAGTACCTATATTAAGAATTCCTTATTTGTTTTCTTATAATATAATTTTAAAATATTTATATTTTTGTTAAAGACATTTTTTATATAAAAAAATTTAAAATATTTGTCACATTTTTTCTTATTTCTTCAATGTAAACCAACACTTTCTTCTCACTCTCTCTAAAACCCTAGTCGTTGCCCTTTCTTCGAACCTAGCTCAGACCACCACCACTTTCAATGGAAAAACAAATTTGATATTCATACTCATCGTCTCATGGCCTTTCTAAAAAGCCAAATTAATTGTGATTCCATGTTACCACTGTTGTATCTCCATTTCCTCCTTTTCTGGCCACCACGACCTTAAACGACGAAACGATTGTTACTTTTGCAATCCTAATACCTTGACCTCTCTTATTAACCAAGTAGATCGTCATTTTGAACATTATCACCGTCAGCCACCGGTCCTCTATCTTCGGCCACCGCGACGAGTAACGAAGAAAGGAAGTAAATCGTTTTTTTGAGCTACTTTTCAGTGACCTCCATCTTCCATCTTCACGGTGAGGACCTCTAGCCATCACACTCTATGCTCTTCTTCTTCTTTCACATTTCACCTTCCTGTACCCTTGTTTCCATAGATGTATATGAATAGAAATGATTCCATGAGTTTACTATTGTTATAATTTTTTGGTGAATTTTGTGTTTGAAGGTGTAGTTGTGTTGGAATAGAGGAAAATGGGTTTGTTTTTTGGGGTATTTCTAAGGATAATATTCCTTGTAGCATTGATGGATGGATTGAAACCAATGATGAGGTACAGAAGTTCTAAGCGAATTGCAAAAGTATGCTACATTGTCCTGGAATAACTATAATCAGAAAATCATTAATGAAACCATGACAAACCATTAAAACCGCCCAATGTTGTGTTTGTGTGAATTTTAGAAGCCATGATTCCTAACTTTTGCTGGACGTGATAATGAAAGTTATTTAGTGCGGCTCTAAACATAGTGTGATTTCAGCTACTTATACTATTAGTGCAATTTAACTTATCAGTGAATGAAAATGAAAACTTAGAAGAAAAGATGATTTGAGGAATTGAAAGAAGTGAGAGATATGGTTCTTAGAATATTGAGGCCTATCTTTGTCATTTTGTACAACTGTGTAAGGAAAATGAGGCCATTATTTGGATAAATAAATAATTTTTGAACAAATAACTAAATTATCAAAATCTCGTGAAATTGTAAGCAGTGTTTTAAAATTTGGACTATGTTTAATTTTGTGAAAGAGAATTATGTATTTCATAATTGCATTATTTTTTTTGAATCAAAAATTTCATTAATCCAAAGTCAATAGAACACAAGGCGATCAAAATCCAGCCCACACCACGAAAACAAAAAAGACTTACTGTACCATCAAGATAGCTATATGTGGTCTAAGCTTAGAGCTCGACCACCCTCTATAAACTATGTTGTTAATGATTCTATTTATACAATTCCTACTGTCTAATCTTTGATTAAAACAAGTGTCATTTCTAAAACTCTACAACTCATGTAAAGTTTCAGTCAGCGCTAATCTAACAAGCTCAGCTTTCCATCCTTTTCCTCCAAAACAATTCAACATCCATTTTAGCTCCTCATTCCAATTCCCGGGAATGTGAGAGATACCAATCCAGTGAAGTATTTCTACCCAAGTCTTTCTCAGAGTATCGCACTCAAAAAATAGGTGGTCAATGGTTTCCGCCGCAGGGCAAAAAACACACTGGTTATTGTTCACCATACCAAGCCGATGCAATCTGACTTTTGTGCCTAACTTCCCATGACAGATCATCCAGAGAGTATAAATTGCACGAGGTCTAGCTCTATTGTGGAGAATAAGCTTGGCCCAGGCAACATTAGGAGTGGCAGGTAACAACTTCGCATACACTCTCCTACCAATGAATTTCCTTGCTTGCATCATCTCATTCCAAACCATCTGCATATTGCCTATGTTATGATGAAGTTGCTCTGGAATTTATCCATGAAAACTGATGATCTGTGGGTTCGGTGGATTCATGCCTATTACCTGAAAAATGAGGATATAATGTATAGATTAAAAAACTCAGATCCAAATATTCTTAATAGTCATTATTTTAAATTTATTTTTTTATTAATCATACAATATAATAAATTTAAAAAAAAGACAATTAATTATATAGCAATTTTTTATAAAAAAAAATATCATGTCATAGAAGAAAAATAAAAGTATATTCTATTATCTATTATTTATTATAATATATTAAATTAGAAGCGCGCACTCTAACGTTAACACTTCAACATAATTTGTGTCACATCACCCATATTTTTTTTATGTAGTATTTTTTAAATTTTATCTTCACTTCTCAAAAGATATATTAATCGCATAGTATTAGAGGTCAGAAATTCAAACTCCAATAAATGTCAGCGATAAACAAATACAAAAAAATATATTAACTTAACAATTATTTGTTTAATGCAAACTTAAAATCATTTGTTTAATACATATTATTTTCATAAAACTTATAGAATATAATTTTTATTTTTGGTGAAATTATTTTTTAATTATATAAATTAAAAAAATTGATATATATTCTTCATGATATGTGGTTATCTTCAGGAATTCAGGAGAAAGATGCAGGCCGCCCAAGGCCAAGGCAAGTGAGGCAATAGCCTTGGGCCTCACTTTGTTGGGCTATAAAGACACTATAGAAAAGGCCTCCAAATATAAGATTCAATAACTATATATTCACAAAATCAAATAACTATTTGTATTCAATTCATCATTAGCCAAGTCATTGTCCTCTTTTGATTTTACAAAAATTGATTAAACTTTACTTTTAATTCCACGCCAACAAAAATAAATATTTTTAATGAATAAATTTAAATTAAGTTTTGAAAACAATACTCTCATTTTAATGTAGTTTTAAAAGTATAGAAATATAATAAGTTTTTTTTAATAAAGTAATCGATGAAGTATTTAAAATTAGTGAATTTAATTCATGCTATTAAGATGTTAAAAAGTAACATGATTATTTGTTCATGTAGTTTAAAGATTAGATTTATAAATTATAAACACTTTACAGATTATTAGTCAATTTTATATTATTTAGGGACTAATTGGAAAAATAATAGTTAAAAAATTTAGTAAATAATTTATTTTATTTTTAACATAAAAGTTGATACAATTTCTAATAAAATATATTTTATTTTTAAAAATTTTTCTTAGACCTTCAAAATATTATGATTGATGTGAATATGCATATAATTCTTGAGATGGATTGCTTTCGGGTGACGTGATCCTTGTAGCTAATGGAGATTAATTAATATATTTTAACATGCTATGGTGTTCATTTAATTATCCTTTATATATATATATATATATATATATATATATATATATATATATATATATATATATATATATATATATATATATATATATATATATATATATATATATATATATATATATATATATATATATATATATATATATATATATAGGATCGGATAGTTTGTATGAAAGGAAATATAGAAACTTTAAACTTGTTCTTCCAAAGTCTTTTTACAAAGGAAACTTAAATCTCTTTATATAGGGAAGAAAATGCTTACTATTTAAGTCGGTAACCACTATTTACAATAGCCGGTAAACTAAAACACAACTTGTATAATTATTGCTGGATACTCTTTGGGCTCATCGACACAACAATTAACAAGAAACCAAATAACTTTAACAAAAGAAAGAAAATGTATGCCTATAAATTCTAAAGACAAGATAAGATTCTTATTCTCTTGTCTTTTACAAAAGAAAGAAAATGCATGCAATTATGCCTAGAAATTTTAAAGACAAGATAAGATTCTCTTGTCTTTTACTTTTGTAAAGATTCTTCTTCTATTATTTCTTGTCCTCTAGCCTTTGTCCATTGTTTCTAGATAAGATAATAATTTAATTCTTTGCTTTTCCTTTTACTTTCATACATTGAATCATTGCATCCCAGAAATCTTCTACAGTAGCTTCATCTGTTTGACCTTCTCTTGCCAAACCATCAAAGTTATGGGAATCCATTGATCTCATGGAAGAACATGTCTTCATAGATTGATGCTTTTGTTGGAAAAGTAGAGAAGAATTGGTTCTTCATATGATCCAAAATTCTAATCATGATTTCATCTTCTGATTCATTGGGATATTTCCTCTGGAAGAAGTTTTTCAAGTTTTCCATGGACATTTGTTGGGAGCTTTGCTACTTGACCTTATTAGTTTGGTCTTCATCTATAGCTTCTTGAATTAATTTCGTTTTATTCTAGACTTCCTCTGAACTCATCTTGTTCCACCATTTATAGAAGAAATTTCTTTCTAAAATGGGAATGTTGAATTTGTTTTTTTGATAGGGTGATTGACCATCTCCATATCCATGGAATCTGAAATTTAGTAAAGAACAAGAATGGACATTGTCTAGTGATCAAATTATCAGATAAAATTTTTACAATAAGTGGACTATTATCACACCATGTATTGTATAAATTAAGAATTTCTTTAGGAAGAATCTCCAAAGATGGACCAAATTTAGCCCACCATTCATAAAACCAATTTGATATGAGTTTATTAACCATCTCTGGGTTAATAGAGAAAAATCAAGAATGCTTGTTCTTGGGATTTTGATAATAAAAAGCTTGAGTGAAAGCTTGGACATAGTCCCAATAATTAAAGTAAATATACTTTCATTCTGCAATTCTTATTGTCTTTTCAGCATTTGGGTTGAGACCCCATTCTCTTGGTAACAAAATTTTGTTAACGTGACATTTACTGAAGTTTATAAAACTTTCAGGATTATTGTTTTGGTAATGGTGAGTAATTGTTACCGATTCGGTAACAGTCAGGAGAATTTCTAGGTTGGGCCTAGATTTTCCATGAAGACCTGGATATCCTCTTGATTCGAGGTATCTAGTTTTGATAGACCAACCATCATTTGGATTTATCTTCATATCTTCATCATCAATATACATGATTTTTTCAGTTACTGAATTTTCAAAATAATCTGTTTGTTCTTGAGGTGGGTTATTAACTGCAACTTCCTTGTAGGATGTAGTTTTATTAGATGAAGAGGAAGCAATATCTTCCTTTTTTTTGCTGAAGATGCAGGTAATTGCTGCATTTTTCTAGTCCAATCCCCTATTAGAGGAATGTTTGATTCTGGCTAGGGTAACATATTGTTACTCCCTCTCCCACCACGGCCATAACCGCGGCCTCTACCCCAATATGGGTTGATCTGACCTGATCAGAAGGGGATCACGGGCTGGCCACACTCTGTTGGACTGCTGCTTGCTCACCGGTGATGAGGAAAAGAAGGGGGGTGTACCTGCAAAACACTCCGATGCCAAAGTGAGAAGTTGGGTAGAGCGAAGGCGAAGTACAGAAAGAGGGGTAAGAAGTGTGTTACCTGACCCTCTTGTGAAAGAGGGTATTTATAGAGAGACCCCAGCGCTGGGCCAACGGTCATTTGAGGTGGGCTGGATGACCAGACCCAACCCTAATGACTGCTAGGGCTTACGTGGTGTAGTGAAGACCAGAACGTGATCTTCGCCCTAGTCCAACTGTCCCGTGATCTCCGGAAAGTGGGTTTGACCTGCTCTTTCGGAGGTGGGCAGTTGGGAGATGACGTGTCCCCGCGGAGGGGTGCACGTGGAGAACGTACGCCGGGCACGTTGTTCTCCCTGCGGGGGGGGGGGGGGGGGGGGGGGGAGCTCGCGAGATTGGGGAGGAACCAAGGTCGCGCTTTGATTCGCCGGGGTGTGTCCTGTTCGGCTGATAAGAGGGGACGACGAGATGCTGTTGGACGCGCTGCTTGTGTCCGGTGGCGTGCTCTGCTCGTCCTGCGGGACGCGCGTGCCCGGCGTGGCTGATTCACTTATTGGGCCGTACGTGGTATTGGGCCTGCCGAGGTCGGACCCAGACCGGAACAGGAGCCCCCCAAGTCGAAGCTCTGGGGAAAGAGCGAGGACTTAAGGTCACTGTGTCGGGGAGAGAGGTAGCGAAGCGAGAGGTTCGTCGGGATTCGTGTGTGGCGGAACGGGCGCTCGCGCGGGGATCCCTGGTCGTCGGCGGAGCGGGGTGAAAGCAGGTGAAGGGGCACGACTGTCAGGTTGCCGCCACGTGTCGTGCGTTAAGCGGTCGTAGGGGTGGCTACCCTATGTCATTAATGAGCCTAGCGTCGCTTTGAATCTCGCACCGAGTTATAAATACGGGGGTCCCCGCTCATTTTTCTACTTTTCACTCTGCTGTTTTACCTGCAAAGCTCTGAGATCTTTGCTCGTCCGCCGTTGCCGCCGATCGCCACCGCACCGTTTGGTTCTTCCTCCCGTTCGCCGTCGTTACAAGTGAGTTCTCCTTTCTCTTCCCTTTTATTTCCGCCGCTTGATTAGAATGCATGGTCGGGGAATGATGAATGCCCCGAGGAGGGACGCAAGATCCGCCGTATCTGGCGATTTTCTGGTGAATGTCCCAGGGAGAATCGGTTGTTCCGATGAATGTCCCGAGGATGGGGGCTTTCTACGATGAATGCCCCGGGGACGAGTGCTTTGTCCGATGAATGCCCCAGGGACGCGCGCTTTTTCCGGTGACCGTCCCGCGAAGGGATGGTGGTTTGGCTTCGGACTCCCCGAGGAGGATCGACGGGGAGCGCATGTTTGCTCGCCGTTCTCCGGCCTTTGTCGCCCTTTCACTTGACCTGCGGTGGAAGGGTGGATTTGATCTTGGCTATCGAATTCACCGTTGTCCTCTGCTTTTTAGGTGTAGATGTCGGCCTTGGTACCGGGGACGATGGTCGAAGACAACGAACCCGAGGTCCCGGACTTTGACGACGAGCGCATCGCCCCGTCCGAAGAATGGGCAGCTGAAGAGCCGCTGTCTACCCCGTCTTATTTCGTGGCCGATGCGTCCGACGTGTATGCCACCGTCGAGGATAC